AGGTATCAAGTACCTTAAGTATCAAAAAATTTATTGTAAAACAGGAACTGTAAATTTCCTCTTAAAACTATACTTCAGATATATTCTGCTGATCAGATGTTTGTCCGTGACTGACATGTGAGGCCCCGGTCAACGTGTCACTACGTGATTGGCCTGCACATTGTCCAGTTCTTTTGTGGTCGACGTGACTAATATAATAATATATTCGGATTAATTTTTTAATAGCGTTAGATGTGTTTGGCAGTAATCCGCTAGGGGCATGCGAATTAGCTAAGGGAGTTGATGGAGAAAATTAACGTGCGAATTTAATTTTTTAATTCTAATTATTTCTTTTTTGCTGGGTACATTGCTAGAGAGAAATAAGAGGGTATTCATGAGAGAATTCATATCTTCTAAGATATTTGATGTGTGACTTTTGAGGTGGAAAATTATATTATAAGTCATGATGAACGGTACGGTGAGGATGTATTTATCTTTCACTTAAAACACAGTTCTCACTCAATTACCACCCCTCCCTAGGGATAGATTGGTGGGAGTTGGATCGATTAATTCCCCATCCCAATCTTTTCTAAGGGTCTCTTTGAATCATAAGAATAAAAAAACAGAGGAATAGAAAAAACATAGGATTCTGACATGAATGTAAGTGTAAAACAGAGGATTGCAAAACACAGGAAAAATATAGTAATAACCGTTTGATTGGACCACAGGAAAAACACAGGAATTTGAGGAGAGATAAAGACTCAAAGGATTTCTTCTATGAGGTTCTACCTCTCGTTAAAATTCCTACAAAACTTGTATGGGAAGAGACATTCCATAGGAATTTCATAGGATTTTATAGGGTTTATTCCTTTTATTCAAAGGGCTTTGTAGGAAAAATTCCTATAGGAATAAAATCCTATGAATTTCCTTTGAATCAAAGGGGGCCTAAATTCATAAATCCTCCGATTAAAGTGAGATTAAAATGCTCAGATTTCTTACACTCCCATTCCATCTCTCAAACTCCTCTCAACTATAAGCCGTAACGCCACGAAAATAATTAGAGAAAAGAAAAGGAGCAAAATGAAAAGAGCAAAGCTAGCTAGCAGCCCAGTAGCTAGCCGGCCCAGCAGCAAAAGGCAGCCCACAGCAGCATAGCAGCGCAGTGCAAGCAGCAGCAGAAGAGCGAGCAGAGCAGCAGCAGCGCTGGTACTGTAGCAAAAATAATCCCACCTCACCAATTCAACTCGAGGGAGACCTTTTCTCCAACGAAAGTTGGATAAAATTTTAGATACTCGTGGAACGCTTTTCAAACTGCTAAACGGAGAATTTCGTGTGAAAACTTTCTATATAAAAGTTGTTCTAGAATATCAGATTAATCTATTTTTTAAGTTTGTAATAATTAAAAATCAATTAATCACACGTTATTACCACCTCGTTTTACGTGAAACACTTAATCTTTATATTCATCTTCATCTTCTGGAGATTCAAACACCACCTAGATAGGAGAAGAGCCCCCGGTGAGTGTAACAGCATCTCCAACAGCCTCTCCAAATCGAACTCTCCAAACACCCATAAGCCAACTCTCCGTCTGATTTAGCTAGTCAAACTAGATACTCACTCCAACAGACTCTCTATTAATCCTCTCCAAAATAAAATCGGACTCACATGTCAACATCTATCCCCTCTTCTTCATCTTTCTCTCCCCCTTCTTCTTTCTCTTTCCTTCTTTTCCCCCTTCCTTCCTTCCCGTCGAGGCGGTCGACGCATGGTGCGGTGGTGCGGCGACGCGGGGAGGTGGGAGGCGGCGACGGCGACAACGGTTTAGGGGCGCAGCAGCGGAGCTCGGGGAGGGGATGGCGATGGCGGCGGCGGCTCGCGACGACGACCTCGACGACGACCCTGACGACAACCTCGACGATGACCTCGTGAGGAGTACAGTTGCTGCGGGCCACCGTTGGCGAGGCGTTTTGGCTGGCCAAATCTAGCCAGCCAACCAGCGATTTTGGCCAGCTGGATGGCTGCCAGTCTGTTGGACCTCCTTTTTATGGTTGAATGGCCAAAATTTGGCTTGGAGAGTCTGATGGAGTGGTTGTTGGAGATGTTCTAACTCCGATTCTGGAATTTTTTATTAAAGTGAGGACGAAAAAGTAGTGAGTTGTAGTGTTAGGTGTGGTCAAACTGGATGAGATGGATCCAATACTGTTTTTGGGCCTTGGGCGTCACAAAAGCCGTTTAAGTTTTTTTTTATTAGGTGTCTCTCCTTTTATCCCGTATATATACTTTTGTAAGCTACATGGAAAACATTTTCATTGTTATTTACCTATGTTTTTAACTAACTCCTTGTCAGGGTTATGGATACCACATACCTATTAGTAGTTGACTAAATCTCGGCAGGACTCACCACATACCATGTCTTATGCGGAAACAACCTTCGGATATAGTAGGAGTTCCACATAAGGAAGGATGAATAGAGTTCTACATGGAAACGACAAGGACTACTCGGGTTGTATCCATATTGGTTTTCCTAGTTCTACTTGGACAAGGTGATACTTATGGGTATAAATACAAGACCCCCTAGGAGAAGAGGGGATACGGAACAACAGAAGCCACAACATACAAGCCAACATATGCCAAGACAAAACGCCGGATATCGACTTCAGAGATAGGCATGGCTAGTCCCCTACGGTACCTACGGATACCGTCAGGAGAGATATAGCGATGTCTCTTATCTCGCCGAATGCGGATTCGAAGAGGAAAGCTACCCTGTTGTCGACTACGAGTCAAACCTTCAGACCGTCATGTCGATAACAGTTAGATAGGCTACCCCAAATATTGTAATGGTGTGATTATGATGAATAAGAGCAACGACCGGCTTCGGCCAACGGGATGTAGGGTTATTACCTGACAATTCAGAGGCCTGAACCTGTATAAAAATCCCTGTCTCCATCTCTTTTACCTCAATCTCGTATATACCCTGGTACCAACGATCCCCATACTATGCAAATACCGGAATCGCGACATCAAACGTCAACACTCCTCAATAGTGATCATTTCCAGTCGACTCTCATGGTATTTTTTGTAAGTGTTATTCACATAAATATTTGTACCTACATATCTATTATATTATTAAAATAGTTTTGAAAGAAGGCACTTCGTTTCTTGTGGAGGCTAAAAAATCCCACATTAATCAAAGAAAAAGAAAATAAAAGTCCAAGTAGACGTACAATTAAAAAATATCTGAAATACTAAAAATAAGCAATATTGAAAGAAGAGTCCATATAAGAACCCAATACAAGATAATTAAAATTCGGAATTAAAAATAAAATAAATTCTGAAATTAGAAAAAATAAAAAGAGTTCATGTAGGAATATAATTTAGAAATAACTGAAATTTGGAACTAAAAATAACTAATATCTGATAAGAGTCCTTATACAACTGAATACGAGATAATTAAGTTCGGAATAAAAAAAACTAAATTTCAAAAATAGAAAAATGATTATAAAAGTTTAAGTAGGAATACAATTTATAAATATAAAATATTATAATAAAAATATGGAATTTTCAAAAAAAAAAAGATAACCTAGAACTCAACGATGACAAATAACAATAAAGAGAGAGAGGACAAGTAATAGGCCCTAAAATAGTAAGGTGGTGAACAGTTGATGGGACATCTAAAAATTATAAACAAGACCACAAATAGAACCCCAGCAACAATTAAGAGGTGGAATAACAGACAGGACGCTAAGCAGCATAGCCACGACGGTTGGCGTGACTTTTACAATGTAAAAAATGAATTGCAATAACAATCATGTTTTATTTTAAAAATCTTCAATGATAATAAATGGGCAGGTCATATAGGAGTATAGTGGTGGAGCCGACAGCGGTTGGCGAGGCTTCTAGAAATTAAAAAAATAAACCCTTAAAATTTGAAATAAAAAAATTGACAATGGGAAAATAATTCTATGAGTTCACAAATAAAAAAATCGGAATGAAAAATATGGAATTTTCAAAAAAATAGTCCATCTGAAACTCAACGATGATATATAATAGTAAAGATGAGAGAAACATTAGGCCTGTAAAGCAGTAAGTTGGTAGCAATTCATGCGACATCTAAAAGCTATAAACAATACCATAAATAGAATCCCAATAATGATTAAGAGGAGGGGCGATAGACAAGCCGTTAAGCAGCACAATCACGACGGTTGGAGGGACTTCTAGAAACTAAAAGGTAAATCGCAATGACAATCATGTTCGATTTTTAAAATCTCAATGATAACAAAAATACATGAGCATAGTGGCGAAGTCGGCGGCACGGTGGTTGGGCGGATTTCTAGAAAGTAAAAGATGAACCTCAACGATAGTTATGTCCAATTTTTAAAATCCCAACAACAATAAATATGGAAGACAATAGGTGGATCATAGAGAAATACAATATTGATGTTTGACAACACTCCTAAAAATTAAAATAATGGAACCTGATGAGACAATGGACTCTAAAAACTTGGACTCTAGAAACTAGGAGGTGCAATTTTTAAAGGTTTAAAGGAAGATAAATAAAAGCAGTGATAGATCGTACAAATAAAAGGGTGATAAAAGAGTAATGGGTAATGACTGGTGTGACTTTTAAATAAAAACTATAAAAATTTAAGGATGATAAGGTTCGATCTTTGAAGGTTATAAGACAACGCAATGGCAATTTAACAAATTTTAAGTAACGTCAAATATAAAAAAAATAGATAAATTTATATGGATGCTAGCCTCGCAATTTCGCAGGTCTCCCAGCTAGTTTTCGTAACATGAGTAAGGGTTAGTCACCCGTCCCGAAGAATGGATCTGCACAATCGCTCAAAAAACAGCGGGAGGCCACGCCGCAAGCCCGAACAAGAGCTTTACAAAAGTCGGATAGACCACCAGTGAGGCCAAGAAAGAGCCGAAGGGTCCGTTAAGAAGTAAGAACGTTGCTTATCAACTTCACCTGAACAACGACATTATATGGGATATCAAACACACAGCCCATAGATAGAACCGTACCTAAGCAAGATGGCTAGACTCTAGAGAACCAAACACTAGAAGACCCATATAGCTAACGTTGAACTAATTATTTAGCTTAACAATCCATGTTCACCGAATACTTCAGAACCAAATTGTGTAGTCGATCGTGTGCCCATGCATCGATCGAAGCACAAACAGATGAATTTCCATTTATATTTTCTAGCCCGGTCCACATATGTATATTCGATCAGCAGCAAGCCCACAAAAACAGGTGGCCTGGATGATAGCAACGAGAACAAACAAATGTGCCAGCAATAATGTGTCTTACATTTGCCCTCGGTCAAGTAATTCACCGATCCACAGCTAGCGGGGAAAAAGTTCTTAACTCGAGTAATAGAGGAGATCAGTCTATATTCGGGAAACAGGTCGAACTCGATCCATTGTTTTATTGAGAGTTAATATTTCCCGATCTGGTGTGCTTCTTACTTTTCCGACGAAACCTGCAATTAATTAATCAAAGTACATCAGAAATAGCCATTCACTGCTGTTTAATGCACGTCATAATTAAAAATCTTCCAATCTAGCTAGCTAGTGTTCTAGAACACAGTTCAAATTATGAATAATGGATCATCTGAAGGCTAAGGGAATAAGTATATATGTACAAACCCTTCACAACAGTTAGCTGATTAATCAATTACCAGCTGGTAGTAGACTTGTACGAACTTATGAAGGGCCATGCTCAGGTGGGAAAGTTCCACCACCCTACATATATGGAAACAAAGAAAAAGAAAACACTCATTTGAGATATCTCTTTGAGTTTATCTCCATTTCCATGGCACTGTGTTGAAATGCAAAATAGGCGCGAAACATGAATGAACTAACACATCTATAATTATCAGTGGGATAATGAAACAATAGTACGTACTCCTATATGGGAAGCAAAGGTGACAGAACTGAGATAAATTATATGAACTAACACACACATGTTTAATACTAGTATTACATTAATTACATTATTACTCCTTGGTGTGATGAGAGACAGTACAATGTGGATCTAGCAGATTTGTACATAGCAGATACATTTGCATGCCACATGTGGAAAGGTAGCTAATTTGTGGAGTAGTACTAGTAAATTAGACTGAGATGCAAAATCGTACCGCTTGGAAGTGAATGAGCGTAGTGGTGATGCTTGCCAGCGGCTGCTGCCGTATCGAACGCAAGCAGGCAATCTTTGCACTTGACGGTGGCCTTAGAATGATGTCTAGACATGTGTCTCCCGAACTGTAACAGTTTAGTGGATCAGAATTCAGAGATTCAAATTAAATCATCTATCAATCGATCAACTGTAGTAGTAGTAGTAAGTTATGCAGCTGCTGGAAATTAAGACAATTATATTGCACATGTACACATGCTCTGCATTTCTGTACCTTGTGCTTTGGAATGTAGCGTGGGTCATCGCACTGCGAGGCCTCCATGCAGATCAAACACGACAGGAAATCATCTGGACAGAATAGCATAGCTATCCCGTATCGGCGGTAGAAGAGCACCTCCTCGTCCGTCTCGGGGTGTAACTGCCTCACAAGCGCTAACGCCTCGAGGAATCTACCAGTCGCGTCACCGCTGATCCTTCGCCTTTGTTGGTTTTTTTTCCCATTTCTGGTGGCGTTGCAGGCTGCATGCAGTTTCAGAGAGCACGGCGTCAATACGATTATTGCCCGGTGAAACATTACACGATGATGCCCCATATTGCCACGCGATCGCAATCGATGGTGCTCGTCTCGAGCGGTTGGATCGGAGGAATGTCTCGGCTGGCCCGTCGAGAAGAGATCGGAGAAAGGAGGTCGAGGGTTTAATTTGGAAGAGACCTCGTCGGTGGAAGGGCTTCGGTGCGGATGCTGTGGTCGGAGTCGGAGGTGTGTCGTCGTCGGTGCAGTCGAACGCGATGACGAAGTACGGCGGTGGGCGGTGGCGTTCGGAAACTGCAGCGACGGCCGGCGTCAGCAAGTCAATCGCGCGCGATGGCGCTAGGGCTAGGCGCTAGCTAGCTCCGAACCGGAGAGGGAAGCTGGGTTTTGGACTAATTTTGGTCAGAAAACGAACGGGATAGAGAGACGGCACTGCCAGTACTGGTTTGGTTTACTCCCGCCGGTGGACAAATCGCCGCCGGAGAAGTTGACGACGGCGAGGAATCGATCGAAACGGGGAGAAAACGGCAAGGGAGGAGATGATGCGGGAGAAATGGTTAGAAAATTGGGGGAGAAAGGCGGAGATCAGAATGAGTTAATACCTTCCCTTCGTGTGCTCGGTGCGGTGGACGGCGCGGAGGAGGTGGCGTGGGGCACGGTGCGGTCCCGGAGCTCGCAGCCGGAGGGGTCGACGACGGCGACGGCGGCGGCTTCAACCCTCGGAAACTGCAGCGTGAGAAATTACGGCGTCAGAGAGTACAACGATGCTACGCGCCATGGCGCTCCAGTCTAGAAAATTCCAGAAAACTCCAGACCAGTTAGCTAGGGTTTGGATCGCGAGTGGATGAGATGGGGAGAACGAGGAGCGCGGATGCAGGAACAGGATGCTAAGTTGCTAACCTTAAGCTGCGTGCTCGTCGAGATGCGGAGATGGACGAAGGCGGTGGCTCGTCGAGGTGGACGAACGCGGCGTGGTGGTGGGTGCACTCGCCGGAGCCCGCGGCCGGAGAGGTAGAAGACGACGGCGCGCGCGGCGGCCGCGCTCTCTCTCTCTCTCCGTCGCAGCAAAGGAGCTCGCCTCGGCTCCGCGAGATCGGGGGGTCCTGGTCTTTATAGCCGAGACAGAAGGCAAAAGCTTTTTTTTCTCCCTTTTTTTCTTTGTTTTTTTTAAACATTTCTTATTTCCTTATTACTTCCTCTCGAAGAATGGAAGACTTCGCACGAAATACAAGCCCAACACAACACGGCCCATCTCCTCTGTCGCCATCGCACTGAGATAAACTCTCTCTTCCGTAGCCCAAGCAGTGGACAGTTACTGAGTGAGTTTAGCATTTGCTTGTCAGCAAATGGAATTACTGGTACACAATGCCCATAACAAAAGCTACACAATTACTGGTACAACAACAATTACTGGCACACAACAGCTACCAATTACTGGTAGTCCGTAAACTACTACAGTATACCAGCATCTCAACCAGATAAACATCGCACAGCGACGACGTAGTACATATCAGATGATGAATTATCCAAACAATATGAGCATTGTTACATATCTGACAAGCCAATGCATGTGCCAGGTGCATATGCAAAATTGTCACTTATACAAGCATTAATCATTTCAACGAATCATTGTTGACTTTTACCAATAGAAACCCTATATACTGTTGTCCAAATCTCAGTCCCAGATGTTCTCAACATGATCAAGGGATTCCTATTACACCTCATCAAAAGAGAAGATCAATGGAGAACTGTTTCTTCATGAACATGAGACCAAGGAAAAAAATTTACAAAAAATAGAAGGCAACATAGAAGGAATGTACTATCTGTCTGGAAAGAACCCAACTTCTTTACTCAAGAGAATGTTCCCCAAGCTCCATCTTCCTTGCTGATTGAAGACGAAAACAAAAATATGCTGCCTGAGCACAGCTAAATAATGAACAATTGTACAGAAATATGCATATATGAGATGTTCTTACAGGGATTTCCACTAAAAAAGTACACATGGCACAAAACAACATTCTCCAAGTATTGAATTGCATTTTTTGACTGGTCTTCATCAAATCCTTAAACAAGGCATTATGTGCAATCAATAATCTGGATGAATATCATTCTGATGCATTTCAGAATACAGCCTTATAGACCCTGGCACCCTGCCCAGTTACCTTCTTTACAGTTCTCATCTATCAGCAAAGTGTGAGTGTATTTGTTTGGCACCAATCCCCTTGCATCAAAGTGTACAGTTGAGAAGAATTAGTGCTCATGCAAAATGATAAGGATTTTACATGGAAAAAAGAGGGGAAAGAACGCCAGGTCTAAAATTTTATGTGCATGGAACATTATGGCAAGGAATTAAGTCAGGTAGAGAACCTGGAAGCAGAGGTGTTGCGTGGCAATGGCAACAGTCCGTCTCCTCACCGACCAGAATTTCATCACAGCTTCATCTCCATATCCAAAGTGGGTGATTCTGAATTTCCATCAACAACAAGGACGTTCGAAGCAACAACTTACATCTGCCGAGTAGAAACAGGGATTTGACTCAACATAAACCATGTCGAGGTAACAGTTTATGTAGCTTACAGCCGGAGATCACGGGCTCAAGAAAAGATCTCGAATAAATAAAGAAGGAAAGAAAGTGGCATGAAGGGGTCCATATAATGATGGGAACAGACTGCCAACAGAATAAAGAACATCCAACATTGCAGGATTTCCCCTCCACAGGACCTGTAAGACAGCTTCTTCACAATTGGCACCCCTTGCCTGAAAGCAAGCCAGGATCAGGGAGAAATGGTTCCAAGGATTGGCCTGCTGGTTGTGCTGGTTGGATTGGCCTTCCAGGCAATTCTCCATCCACCACCTCAAAAATTGTGTGGCTCACCAGGTGGACCTCCTGTGACATCTCCCAGGATCAAGCTCAGTGATAGAAGGCACGCCTACAAAGAGGGTGGAGTTCAAAAAGACAAGGCCAAGTAGATAATCGCAGTGCATGCATTTGATGAAACCAAGGACTTACCCTTGCCTGTTTCTAAGGTAAAGGCAAACAACAAATACAGTAAGATTGGAAATTCCTCTTTTTGTGTGGATCAAATCTACATAGAATTGCAACATTGATTTTTTTTCTTTAGTTCACACTTTTCTTAACACATTACTTTGTCTGTCAAAATTCAGGAACTTGTGGATGAACTGGGAATTTACCTTCTTGCTTTCGACAGAGCAGGGTATGGGGAAAATTATCCAAATCCCAAGAGGAATGTAAGGAGTGAGGCATTGGATATTGAGGAGCTCACTGACCAGCTCAAGCTTGGACAGAAGTTCTGTGTTGGGAATGTCGATGGGAGGATACCCAATTTGGGGTGCCTTCAGTATATACCAAACAGGTAAAGACCGAAACTGCAATACTGTACCATCAATGGTATATGTGACCCTTCACTCTCCAGAAATGTAAAGATACAACTACTGTGTGCAGGCTTGCAGGAGCAGCGTTAGTTCTGCCCATTATCAACTACTGGTGGCCTTCTTCCCCCGCTGAGCTATCCAGGCAAGCCTTCATGGGTCTCATCATGCCAGAGCAGAGGACACTCTGGATTGCACACAACATAAACTTCCTTGCTCTACCTCTGGATGACCCAGAAGTGGCTCCCTTCTTCTGCGGCAGCCATGCATCATCCTGCAATATTTAGCAAGCATGATATGGAGGTCCTTCAGCACATGATAGCGATGCCTGTCATTGAGGTAAATCAGAGATTATTTCACCCACATGAAGTGCTATTTAATAGAACATTAGAACTACAGATAAACAAATGCATCGGCCACATCCTTCAAAGCTTGCTTGATTTATACTACTGTGGTCAAGAGAATGATAACTTTACATTAAAAAATAGTAAGAGAAAAGCTTTCAAAATTAATATTTATATCAAAACCAACCTAAAGAAAAATGTCCCAAACCATAAATACTACTTGTTCAGGATGGCATATCATCGCTTTCTCTTCATTTTTCAGAATAAATCAACGCAGCAAGGCAAGGATATGGAAATTGGGAGGTTGATCCAATGAATATTACCATTCACCAATCCATTTCCTCAAAATGAGGGTTATGTACACATCTGGCAAGGATACAAAGATAGTTGGTGCTGGTTGAGCTGCAACGGTAATTTCAAAGAAGCTTTCCTTGGATCCATTATCATGAAGTCCCAGAAGGAGGACACATGTTCATGCTGGCAGATGGATGGACTGACAAAATACTCAGGGCATTCTTGGTTGGAGAATAACTCTCGGAGCTGTGAGCCTGTGGCTCTCACTGAAGATGCTATATTGCTATGTAGTCCTTTTTTCCAAGTTTATTTCCGATAATATCAAATTTGGCCCCATTCAATAGATGACAGACCATACTGTCACATTAAGCTATTTGTTAACAGTGAATTGGGTAATGACAATTGAAAACACGAAGCCTTGGTGCGTCTCTAGCTTCACTTTGGTTGTTTATGAGCTGTCACAATGCCTGCTTCAGCTTTCAAGTACAGAAGGCAGGTAAAGAAATAATGCTAAGATAAATTTAAGTAGGTCAATGGGTATTTTAAAAAAGAATAATCAAATGCAATACAATCCTATAAAACAGTACCTGAATGGTACTAACATAGTAATAAAACTCATGGAAACCACTTGTTTCTTGAAATGAGTAAGAGTTTGGGCGACTGCAGAAATATAGTACCTGTTAAGATTTTTTTTCCTCTGTCTGGTAAAATCAAGTTTCATATATTCCAAATTTGTGACAGACTGGGCATTCCTGTCATTCCTGATACACCTAACAGAATTAGTCCATAGTATTTTCAAGTGTAGTAATAAAATGTTTTCAATACCAGTGACCAGACTACCAGACAGCATGAGCCATATGACTTAAATCAGTCCAAGAAAATAGTTCATGATGAGAGTGAATACATTTATAAGACAACAAAAATGCAATCATCACAAAAAGATCAGTCTAGATTCTAACAAATCAATGAAATAATGAAGACCTCATAGACAATAGAATCCACAAATGTAACACTTAGTTGCTTTCTTTATATAACACAGCTAAAAGCATATTCGGAAACGGAATGACGGTTTAACTACTTCAGAGTGCACTTCTGGAAAGAGCGAAAACCAAATCGAAGAAAGGCAGGTGTCTACAACCTGACCATATTGCATTAATCAACAGAGTAGAATGTACTAGGCAATACTAAAGTAATCACATTAGTAAACATAATACTAAGCATTACTTGATCTAGGTTCTGGCATCATGAATGTCATCAACTCACTCGCATACAATGTTACATCTTTTTCACTGCTATTAGGTATACCACTACCCACAAAGTACATAAATTTGCAAAAGATCAAGAATGAATGTCAGAATGAAGTCACTACTTTGAAATTTGAATGTTGCATATGGTAATACCAACATTCTGCAACAAGTTATGGTCCATTTTGTCAAAATGATACAACTTACAACCTTCAAAATTAAGAAATGAAACCAAGATAATGTATCTGTTTACAATATACGGTTAAAATGTCAAGTAGACAACAGTTACACAATCACAAATCCTTAAAAGTACTGTAACTCAACCAGATAAACTTTTGGCATTGGAGAATCAAACACCTGAGTACCTGATCCACAAGAACTGATTAAAATGCAATAGAGAATAGAATTCAGAGATGCATGGATTGATCATGTTGTATACATGTGTTTTGGATGGATCTGATCGGATACAAAAGTACAAATGAGAAATTCCTGAGAGCAAAATAAAATATACTCCCTCCATTTTTTAATAGATGACGCCGTTGACTTTTTCTCATATGTTTGACCATTCGTCTTATTCAAAAATTTTATGCAAATGTATAAGATATAAATCACACTTAAAGTACTATGAGTGATAAAACAACTCATAACAAAATAAATTATAATTACGTAAATTTTTTGAATAAGACGAATGGTCAAACATGTGAGAAAAAATCAACGGTGTCATCTATTAAAAAACGGAGGTAGTATTTATCAGTAGCACTTCAGAATAAACAGAAGAGAAGAAAAATGCATGAGCAGATGCTTCAGATATCAGGATTTCAAGTACAGCGGATTAACTTCCAAACCAAACGGCTTACCTAGGTTTACAGACACAATTACTATTATGACTTCTTGGAATGTTTCAAGCGGCAATAATTCAATGGAATCTGACCACTAGTGAATGAAAAACATACTGCAGATTTGTACTACACAACCAACCTCTAGCAAGCTGTGCAATGATTTGAGAACACAGATTAAGTGGAATAGTAAACACTTGTGTGTGTCAGCAAATTAAAGGGCCTCTCTGCTGTTGTAGTCTCATAAGCAGACCATGTCTTGCTCATCTCCTTATCAGTAGACATAGAATTTTCACCCAAGATAGTTTAACATTAAAAATCAATAAAATGTATCCAAACAATATGAGCATTGTTATATCTGAGAGGCCAATGCATATGCCAGATGCCTATGGCAAAATTGTCAGTGTTACAAGGATTATTCATTATTCATTTCACAAAATCATTGTTGGCTTTTACCAATAGGAACCCTATATACTATTTTCGAAATCTCGGTCCCAAATGTTCACTACCATTCAACTTTTTTTTTTTGAGATAGTAGGTATATGGGAGACATAGTCAAGAGATTTCTATTACACCTCATCAAAAGAGAAGAACAGTGGAGAACATCTGTATCTCCATGAAGCATGAACATGTGAATAAGGAAAAAAATTGACAAAATTTATCCAACATAGAAGGAAATGTTTGTATCAACTATCTATCTGGAAAGCACCCAACTTCTTTTCTCAGAGAATGTTCCCCAAGCTCCATCTTCCTTGCTCTGATTGAAGACAAAAACAAAAATATGCTGACTGAGCAGAGCTAGATAATGAACAATTGTTGCAAAGAAATATGCATTTATGGGATGTCCTTACAGGGATTTCCACCAAACAAGTTCACACGGTACATCTTTCTTAAGGACCTGTCTATGCACCCAAAACAACATTCTCCATGTACTGAATTGCATGTTTTGACTGGCCTTCATCAAATCCCTTAAACAAGGCATTATGTGTGCAGTGATCTGGATGGATACCATGCTGATGCATTTCAGAATACAGCCTTATAGCCTCTTCCCAGTTACCTTCTTTACAGTTCCCATCAATCAGCAAAGTGTACGTGTATTTGTTTGGCGACAATCCTCTTTCCAGCATCTCATGAAAATGCTGATAAGCTAAGTTAGTTCTCCCCATCCTGCAAAGTGCATGTATGAGCACATTATATGTTACTTCATTAGGTCGCACTCCTTCCTCCAGCATCTTTTGAAACCAACCATATGCTGAGTAAAGATTTCCTCTTCTACAGTATGCATGAATGAAAACAGTATAGGTCACAGCCGAAGGTGGCAACCCACTTACAAGCATTCCATCAAAAATATCCCTTGCTTCTCTCAGACGCCCCCTTTCACAATGTGCGTGAATCAAGCATGTGTACGTGATGCAGTCAGGCTGTAAACCGTCACTGACCATCTTCATCCACAACACATAGGCATCTTTCAAGTTACCAGATTTGCACAATCCATCAAGGAAAATATTGTATGTTACTGTATCAGAAGAAATTCCTCTTGAAATCATCACCTCTGTCAGCTGAAATGCCTCAGAAGTAGAACCTAGAATCAGCTCTGCAGAAATCCTTGTATTATAGGCAAAGCAATCTGGCTGCAAACCTTTGCTCAACATTTCATCAAAGAACTCTCTTACCATCGCAAGATTCCTCACCTTACGAGACCCATTCATGAGAATCGTGTATGTAGAAACATCAGGCTGACAGCCCTGCTCTACCATTTCCTGCTTGAATCTCCTAGCTTCCTCTAAATCACCTAATCTACAATAACCATCTAAAAGAATGTTATATGTCAAAACTGATGGGGCTAACCCCGCACGCTTCAAATCACCAAATAACCAAAGTGCCTCCTTCAAATTCCCTGCCTTACAATACCCATTTATTAAAGAATTGTATGTAATCAAATCTGGAAGTAATCCCATTGCTCTCATTTCCACAAACTTCATCCGAGCTGCCTCCACATTACCACTTCTAAACATTCCATGAATAATTGTGTTATATGTCACCACCGTGGGTACAATGCCCTCATTCTCCATCTCCAACTGCAATGCTCCAGCCTTTTCAACAGAACCCCTTGCAAAATACCCAGTAATAAGTGGATTAAACGTGAAAGCTGACGCCTTCTTGGACATCCGCATTCTGTCAACCAGCTGAGCTGCCTTCTCCAGCTCACCTTTCCTGGCCAACCCATTAATCACCACATTGTATGTGACATCACTCGGCAAGCATCCACCAGGCCGGGCCTCCATCTCTCTGAGCAACTTGGCAGCCTGATCCACCCTACCCTCCCTGAAGAAAGAATCCAACAACGTGTTGTATGTGACAATGCTCGGCTCGATTCCAAGCTGAAGCATCTCTGCATACACCGAGCGCATGTCATCCCACCTGGCTTCATCACGCAGCGCACGGAGCACGAGGTTGCATTCCTTGATGAAAGGGGGAACTCCGTGGTGCGCCATCTCACGGAAAGCGGCAAGGCATAGCGTCGAACAGGTGGAGGGCGCAGGGTTGCGAGCTCGGGTATTGAACTTGGTGGACAGGCGCAGGAGGAGGTTGAGGAGGTAGTGGAGGGAGACGGTGGTAGGAAAGGAGAGGAGGAGGGAGACAAGGGGGAGGAGAAGGCCGAGGTGGATGGCGCGGACGGAGACGGGGTGGGCGGCGTGGAGGTGCTTGGCCTCGGCGAGCGGGACGAGGACGGCGGCGTACGCGGAGGCGCAGCGCGGGAAGCCGCGCGGGGTGGCCTCCGCCCACCGGAACAGCTGGCGCGCGAGGCCCGGGAGGCCGCGGAGCGCGGCGTGGACGTCGCCAGCGGCGAGCACCTCTCGGAGCGCCTCGGGTGGTGGGGGATCAGACGCGAGCAGCGACGCGAACGGGCTCTCCTCTGTCCGAGGCGGGGGAATCAGCGCCGTCGACGACGACGACGACGACGAGGAGACGAAGCGGAGGCCGGAGATGGCGGCGGCGGCGGCGGATGCGGCAGGAGCTTGGGATTTGCAGGGGTGGATGGAGAAGAGCATGGGTTAATGTTCGAGTCCTCCCCGGCGGCGCCTCGCCATGAATGGCTGCGGCGGCGGGCGGAGGCGGCGCCGGCGGCGGGGAGGAGGAGGGGAGAGGAGGGAGTTCGATGCGGTTTGTAAGATGGTCGCGTGGCCTTCTCCTTCGCACACGACTTAACCCAGAAAATTTTCTTGTAATAATTCACTTCTCTTTGGGCTTTTCTGTAAATGGCGCAAACGCACGTTACTCTTTAGCTGCTCCCTTTGTAATACTTGGTTCTTTTTCACTTTGTTTTTACTTCAATCATCTGTTTTTTTAATGGAGTTTTATGGCTATATTTAGGATGCAGGACTTTAGGAAACTTTACGAACTTGTATTTCTCTTTTTTTAGGGAAATAGGACAAGTGGCCAAAGTTGAAGAATAAACACTTCGTTTCAAAATATAAAGAATTTTGTTAGTACAAGCTTAAAATCTCTTTTATATTGCTTATATATTGGGATGGTTGTAGAAGTACTCTAGGGTCAAGTAGCTAGTTTTTTTTTTTCGTAGATACGTTAGCGTTGGTAGACGAATGGATAGGATAGTATCCCAGTGGATGTATTGTAAGCTCAAGTTGTGTTTATTGATTGGAAGTTGCTAAGATACCTTGAACTACAATAATATGCGGGCACATTACACGCTGAACTGTACTCCAAAATCGATATAGACATCAGGATTTGAGCCGTAGTTTCCAGCTTTCAATCGCAATCTGGCATGGACCAAGACTAAAACCACGAACCCACAAAGCCATGTAATGTATGCATATCCTTGTGATTTCGACAGGTTCAAGCGAATTATAGGAAATTACAGACAGCATCCATCAGGTGATGGCCTCCCAGTCCCAATGTGATTCCTCTACTACTGTAGGAACCAATGGTGATGATAACGGGCCATATTGAGCTGAATCTCCCGGATCTGGCCCGATTTTAAATGCATCCTACGTAAAGCATAATATACGGATGCATTTTGAGGACAAATGTACCACGTTTTTTGTTCACTACAACCGAAAAATCAGCACAATGGGCTTGCAGAAAGGAACTCAAAGCCCGGGTTTTCATAAGAATCAGTAGCTGTCTTCATCTGTCTCGGGCCTCCGGAGATAATAACGCAAGCAATTCACGAGCACCTATATGATGGCATGTTAAGAGATATATAAGTATGATGTTGCTGAGATGACCAAAGATTTTAACAGAAAGTAGTAATCAAGGCATTGCAATACCTGAGATAATGAGCTGTTCAATTTTGCACCTCTGTAACTCACATGGAATTTGTCCTTTGCAACCAAGCCCTGAATAAAACATCACATATGAAGTAAGGAAGGGAGTTGACAGAACAAGGGGATTTCATAACAAAGAAATAGGAACATGGCATACTTCAGTATCTATCTCAGCTGATTCCACATCAACGTTCACGTCAGTGATGATCTTCACTATTTCCAGAAGTAGACCAGGCCGATCAGCTGTCTCTATGTACAGCATGCTGCACATGTTTAACTAATATCAATGAGGAAGACGGATGATGAACATCATATGGAGCAAACAGAGAAGTAAGGCACATGTTATATCAGATGTGATATTGAGAAACAATACATGCATTACTAATAATATGTAGACATGTATCAAGCATGAACTATTAAATGATGTGCATAGAAATTCAATGATTTACAGACTCAAATTACCATGAAAAAAATTATACCTGTATAAAACTAGGGAGGGTTGGGGTCACAGTGTTATATAATGCAAAACTTCAAACATCTTATAATAGATTCAATGTCTTTGCACAAATCTTGGTGGACTTTGGATTGATAGGATAGGCATGAACATACATGTATATGTAGTTGTGTTTCTCAAGTTACTTCTACCGGTTGCATTCGTAAAGTATGCTATCAGGTCCTTGTTTTGTGGAGAAATCAGTAACGATAATATGAATCAAGAGTCCTTGTGTGCCTTTTTTTCCTCTAACACATAGGAGAGCTGCGCATCATTCTATTAAGAAGAGAGGGAGTCTAGGAAGACTCGTACAAGCCCTTAAGGACCAGGGTTAAACACAACAAACAAAAACTAGAAGAAAATGTGTGCCTATTTTTAAGGTAACTATCTAGCCGTGCACTTGTAATGCCCCATAAGTGTTCAATTATACAATCTGTGGACATGTCACATCCCACTCCTAAGCAAGGCATACTGAAATAAGGAATCACGCTAAAATTGTATATAATCATTATGGCTTAGTTGGATCAAACCTTCTTTTAGGTCCATCATCTTCAACAATTACATGTGTTACAACATCAACATCAACCTGAGAGTTTAAAGAACAAATAAATCACGTTCATGCTAAAGTTAATGGAATACAAAATTAACAGCATAACAAAACACTCAGGAACCTAACTTTTTTACTGTGTTAAAATTGAGGAAAACACACAACTTTAAAATTGAGAAGATGCTTGATAACAGAGCATGGGTGGTGAACAAGCAGAATGAGAACATCCAATGAACTCACCTTCTTCTCAGGAGCTTTTATTCCAAAAAATTCACCCATGGCTAAATTCTCACTTGATTCCTACATGCATATCAACCAGACAAATGAGTTAGTTTGATACTTTGATTCATAAAAACAAGAACGGATCCAAAATTACTAACGGTAGAAGTTCTAAACACAAGTAAAAGGATGTGACGCTCGGAACATACAGGATGATACTGCAGAAGGTTGTTAATAACTGTTAGCCGTATCTTTTCCAATGTGTCAGGGTCCTCAACTTTGCGCCCCCTAGATACAGACAGAAGAGGGGGAAAAAGATAATATTAGACATGAAATTATCCAAATCACCAAAACAATATAAGAAGCATGATAGTTGCTAAATGTTTTAATCTCGTATTGTGTTTAGTGCACATGTAAACTATTAGTATGGTACTTTGATAAATATGTGGATTCAATGAGAAAATACACCCTCTACTTCAAATATAAACTAAACAGCATGACAAAATGCAGCACACAGAAAGTGGCGTGCACCCACGATCGCATGATGTGGAACTTTGTTTGTGTGACAGCTGATTCAGTTGACACACTTCCTTTCGTCACATCAAGGCCCAGGTCCTTGAGTGCCTTCATCTGCAAACAGTGAATACCAGGACAAAATAATTTACTGATACAACAAAAATTACTAATTACGAAATATATCTTAAACAAGATCAGATCAAATAGAGCACCCATAGCATAGGAAAATTATACCGTGTCAAGTAGTGCCCCCAGACGGTCTCCAAAACTCAGCTGCACTATGGTTGCATCACGGTCTGAGTCTTGATCTATCAGAACAACTGGCTGTGGAATTGCATCATCAGATGTCTGCAATATTTTTGGGGGGAGAAAAGGTACATGGTAGAAAAATATCATTAGCTAAATATGTTCTAAAATATTTTAATGGTAGTAAGCAATTAAAAATAGCATACACGAAGCAAAAAAAAAGTAATGTCAAAACAAAAAAAATAATAATCGGACTAAATGGAAACAATATAAGTTCTCATGCAGATATTGAAATGTGAAGCAACTCTTCCCGCGGACCATGTCTACAACTGAACTGACTTCACACATGTCCTCAGATGAATAATTGCACTGTGGACCTAATTTGCAGGCTGGGTTGTTACTCCAGATCTCCACTGTTTAGGAAGACAACTCTATCCTTCATCACTTGATTTTTTTTTAAGTGGAACAACAAAGCTGAAGGACGTGTCGCTGTGAAATGTGTGTTTCCATATGGTGACATGAATGGAAAATCAATATGTACATACCGTTGAAGAAGCACCCAAGACATCAGCCGAGTTGATAGATTGGCAAAAAATCCTACAGTGATGGCATTGAGAAAAATGATTTAGAGGAGGGAATGAGCTTAGTTCAGGACACTGATGTACTACAAATAACCGCAGAATTAAATAGCAACACTAGAAATAGAATCACGTTATGCATTTCAAAGTTAGCACTCAGCCACTCAGTAGCCATTGGACTGACATACATGAACAAAAGTAACAAAGGGAAAATAAGGATTGCACAGTTGACTGCAACTAAGTACTGATTCTGTCCCTTTACTGATGCACCAGCATTCAACAGAAAATCCTTAGATGGCTCCTAATTATAAAGCACACAGATTTCTTTAAAACGATCATATAGTGTTTACAGACGGACACGTTGAATAGAAAATATAGTTTTAGAAAGCTTTATGCCACAATTCCAGTGCTAAAGCCCACAGAATCCAACACATGTAACAATAGGCCTTCACGAGTTAGTAAATGAAAAGCCCATCGTGTAGCAAATCGGTCTTCTCATGTTGTTTATTCATTTATGACTTGTGAGAAATGAGAATCAAAGTGTAGGTAGAGTTGTAACTTGTGTCAATATGGCCTTGAAACAAATCCGCACACCGTGGCACGAGCTCTCTATGTAAAGTTTCTTTCGAGTGAACTAAGGATTTGAAGCATGAAAGTAATTTTTTTTTCTTGTTCATTCCATTCATTTTCCAACTCCTATTAGTACTCCAATCAACTGATAGAGACCTTCTCCAACATTCATGTTCACCTAAACATGAACCTCACTACCTTAGTGAAACTGAGACTAACATGGATATTTCCACACCGGGTGAAACTGCACCTAAGTAACGCAAGATATACAAGTGAGATAATAATAAAACGATTGCATCTCAAGATACTAGAATTTAGGATAATCGTTCTTGCCAGCTGACAATTACAACGTTTTAGGCAAAAAAAAAACGTAAATAGTGTAATCCGTGTACAAACAACCGCAGGACAATATCTGTACTAGGTAAGGAATCTATCAAGATACTATTAGTACAACCGCGATTTCTCCAAGCCAATCCAAAACAATATCAACTAATTCAGTCTACCGACACGACACTCCAATAGTCCAATCCTACCGCACATCTCCCGACACGGCGAACCACCCCTCCCTCGTCATCGATTCGAATCAAACAGCCAGACGCAACGCGGAGATGCCTAGATCGCTCACCTCGGGGCCGCGGTGGCGGCCAGGCCGACGGATCGGGGGAAGTCGTGGAGGCGGAGGAACCCCGGCGACACGCGAGCCGAGTAGTACGGCGACACGGCGGCGGGCGCGACGAGGTGGTGGGCGGCGGCGGCGGCGGCGAGAGCCATGGCTGGTTGGTGGTGACACTCGCTGCGCGCACTGCGGCGAGGCGAGGTGAGGTGAGGCGGTTTCTCTCTGTGTGTGTCTTTTCTGTCGCTTGCTCTGGTCGGGGCGGTTGGGCGAGGAAGTGGATCTTTTTTGCTTATTTTTATTTTTTTAATCTGCCACTTGGCTGCATTATTGGATTGGATGTGCCCTTTTTCTTTTCTTTTTTCATTTTTTTCCCCTGCTGTTGTGTTGTTCGTCAGCTAGGATTTTTTGGACAGTGGTTGTTGCAGTTGTCAAAATTTTCATTGAAATAGTTTTATTTTAATTATTGGTTGCCTTGTCTGGCATGAGAGTATGAAGTGTCTCTTTTTTTTCTCTCTCTTTCTAGGTGACGCCAGATGAGGGTGATGATTCATTCACTCATTCGTTGATTCCCAAGAGTTGCAAACGAAATTGGCATGCTTACTGCCAGTAATAAAGTTGAAGACGTGTCGATGAAACGGAAGTGGCTCGTTCTCTGTTTGTTTAGGAAGATGGGCCGGGCTGAATCACACGTTAGTTGGAGGCCCGTCGGGGCATGTAGTCCATGTACTCCCTCCTACTCAGAACTACTCAGAATAAGTTTATTTGCTCCTTCCGTTTATCTCAAAATAAGTTTACTTTTAAAAAAGTATTACATCCTAGCTTATAAAAGAAAAGAATAAATGCATTTCTTATGTATTTACTGAAGTTTGGTAAAAAAACTAAATGTATGTAAATATTTGGTAACTTTATAAAAAAAAGTATGGTTTAAAATGACATCAATCCGAACAGCCCATGAATTTTAAGGAACTGTCTATGTAACATCCAGCTGAAATTTTTTTGTCTTTTCAGCTGGATTTCTAGCCGTCGGATAGACCTCTTGCCAGCATCCCAACCTCGCCTTGCGCTCCCTGCCTGCGCGGCCGCGCCTCGAGCGCTTCTCATTTTTATGTCTTGTTGGATTGGGTACGGGCTTCAAGCACGTCTGTGTTTTGTCTATTATAAAAGGTCCAACAAACAAACGGGCTTGAAAAACACTGGCCCAATCACTGTCCACGTAACAGAACATATCAGGCTTTGCAACGAAAGCTCTGTTTAATAGCTAACATTCTCTGAACATACGTCGGGCTATGAAAAACATGTAATCTACTGTGTTCAAATTTTGGTTCTCTGAACCAAAACCCTTGAAAAGAAAGCAAAGCACTAGAGCCACCTAATTACTAGTGCCTAACTAGATTGACCATTATCTCCACTGGAAGATCAGCCAGAAAACATCACAAGATTGACTTTATCTGTTAGCTTCCTAGTCATCCATAGCGCAATATTAGACCCTGCAAAAATTTGTACATTTTACTTAGTTACTTCGTACCAAGATGCAGATATTTCTATTCCAATCTGTGACAGAAGGAAAATCTTGTACATCTTCATGTTGAATTTTGTAGTCCCAAAATTCAGAATGAGTATTAGCTTAGAAAATTATGGATAGAATTTTACCCCAAAATCAAAATGAGTACTCATTTTACCCCAACATGAGTACTAGATTGAATCATTCCTGCACTTTAAGAAATTCAACAGTAATTATACCCCAAAAAAAAAGCATTTGTGGCATATACTAGCACCATAAAAGGAGAACATTAATTAAGGATGGAGAAGTGGATAGCAGGATGTCATCGAACAGATGTAAACTGTGGAAAAGAAGTTCTCATAACAAATACTCATTTCTCAATATCAAAACCACACTGTCCAAACAGCACAGATCAGGTAACTAAAGATGCAAACCGTGGGGTTTACCGTGGCTGCCTCACTGATAACCGTTTTGGGATGCCATGACCGACACACTAACAACCGCTGGAGAGGTATAGGCCATTTCACCCAGCGCCAATAGGATACACAATACAATGGATGCCTTGCTGACCTCCGAGGAAGACGTTGTAGCCATCTCGCCAACCTTGTCTCGCGAACAAAAACACGGCGCATATCCTTGGCCACGGGCTCCGTCGTGACCCGGCGGAACGGACGCCGACATCATCGCGGATGCTGCTGCCGCTTCGCCGCCTCCTCCCCCATCGACGACTTCTCTCTCTCGCTGACAACTTGTCGGGTTGCTCTCTCTTTCATCCCGTGCGTGGAGGAGAGACCGGCGAGGTGGGCGCGTGTGTGGCTGAAGAGAGGACACGACGACGCAACGGGGTCGCATCTCCCTGATTTGGGCTGGCCTTGTGCACGAATCTTGAACAAAAAATCAATGGCCACAAATTCAGCTGACAAAGACAAATAAATCAGCAGGCAGCCAGTTATCAATTCCCTTCTGGGAGTACTAAAAAAATTAGTGACAAATAAAAAAATATATACGGTGAATGGCCAAGATGCCTTTCTTCCTCCTCCATCGATTCCTCCCTTGGCAAATGAATGGCACACCACTCTTCACGCACCTCTGCTCCCCTCTGTTGGTTTCCATCAGAAAGAAGGAAACAAGTTTCTCTGCGTCTCCGATCTGCAGTGCGAGCCACGAAGGTTGGCGTCGTCTCCTCCTCCCTCTCCTCCTCGCGCGCGGCTGCCGTCGAGAAGACGCTCGGCCTCCCTTGTGCGGCCTCACCTCCTCGCGCTGAATCCCCTACTCCCCGTGTTAGGTCCGCTCCTGCTTGCCTGATGCTGCCCGTTGCTGGTTCTTGATCCGTCATGTTTGTTACATGTTCCAGTTTTATGGATGGGTTTTTTTGGTTGGCTGATTCGTTGTTGGTGCCTTCAATTAATCAGTACTACTACATTGTCATGCCCTGGTAGTGATGCGAAATGGCATTTTTTTTCTGTTTTCAATTTTGCGTAATAACATGATTGATGCTAGCTAGAACATTTTATCTAGGGGTGAAAACGGAGCGGATATTACCCGATCCACTCTGTATCCGTCCGAAATAAAGATATGATAAGGGTTTTTAGATATCCGGCGGATGCGGATTTTAACATGTGGATGCGGAGCCGTATGTGATATCAACAATATCCGACAGATGTGGATTATCCAATATTTTAATCGGATTATTTGGCGGATAATCCGCATTTCTCATGCCATAGCCCATTTTATATGGGCAGCCCATGTAGCCCATCTACCGTTAACCTAATCCAATCCCCAACATGCCTGACGGCGCGTCGTCTTCCTAGGTGCGCCACCACTTCTCCTCCTAGCGCGCCGCTGCAGCCTGCTGCTTCTAGCGCCGCCGCCGCATCCAACCAAAAGCAGCCTTTCTACTATTTCTAGCACCGCCTCTGCCCTTGCCGACGCCGTCGCCTGCCGTCCCCCATTCCCCGCGTCAGCGCCTCCTCCAGTGGAGTCCCCGTCCACCGTTGGCCCGTCGCGGAGTCGCCAGCGCCCAGCGCCTCCACCGTCAGGTACTATTGTTTTCTTGTGATGATGAATAATGACTGAATGAGAAGTGAAGTCTGGATCCTTGCATGTTGGCGTGTGCAGTGTGTTGTATGGAACTAGTTCATATTAGTTCGTATTTGCAACTTACTAAATTGCAAGAGTAATGGTAGTACTGTATGGAACGGAACTTTGTTAATGTACTGAAGACTTATATTTTTAAGCAACGCCGCAATGAACTGAAGACTTGTATTATGTATTTGCTGGATGTATTTTGGATTATTCAAGCTCTTAAGCACTTGACAATCTGCTGTATGTGTTATATTATCAATTATGCAAGCTGCACTTTACTAGTTAAGCAAAATTATATTATTGATGTGTTTTGCCTGGTTTTTCCTAGAGAGCTGAGATCATAAATCATGTTCAGATGTTTTGTCATCGTATTGCTGCCCTCTTGTTGTATGGATTGAATACAAACTTAATATCCGACAATTTTATTCCATTTTCGAACCGAGTCCGCACCAACTCCGTACCGAATCCGACGTCCGAAATAATCTGCATCCGCACGTCATCCGCACCCGCTTCGCATCCACTTTAAAAATATGGATTAGGATATGGTATAGAAACTATCCGTCCGAATCCGCTCCGTTTCCACCCCTAATTTTATATGTTCTTGTCTTTTTAAGCATTGGCACTTGCCTCATTGCCTGCATTGGTCAAGCTTACACCACTTATGTAACTGTTAATTGATGCTCGCTGCTAAATTGGTTGTGAATTTTGCTTTATAATCCATATCAACTGTTACGAATTTTCCTAAACTATCCATGTCTGAATTAGATGTAATTCAGGAGTCCGTACATGCCAAAAGTACCTTTTGTTTTTCGCCCTTATGTTGCAAGAATCTGCTGATGCAAATCTTGATACAGATTTGACCTTCATAATCCAAAAGAAGAGGTTTTAGTTCAAGCGAACGATAATGGGGATATCCAAGGTGATTGGCATCGCTGGAACAACTCTTCTAGTCACGTCTGTTGGTCTGTGGAAGATCGGCTTAAGAATTGTCGCGGTTCCTTTTCTAGCAACCAGTACTATTGCCTATATCATCGCTGTTGCATCCCACAATTCCATCAACATACCTTGGATCTTGGGAAAGAATTCAAAGGGGAGGTTTCCAATTTGGTCAAGTGTACTTTTTGGTCCTTTCTTGATACTTGCCCGGGTATATGCAACTGTGAAGAGACATATGAGGAAGAAGGAGGCTGTGTATAACATGATCACTGAAGGTGTTTATCTGGGAGGATGGCCGTTTATGTTGAAGCATTTGCCCCCAGGAGACCCGTCTGTTATTGATTGCACTTGCGAGTTGCCAAGAAGTGATTTTGTCCCAACAAATGAGTATCTTTGTGTTCCTACTTGGGATACAAGAGCCCCGACGATATCCCAAATTGAATTTGCGGCATGCTGGGCATGTGAAAAGAGAGCCAAAGGAAAACCAGTTTATGTACATTGTGCATTTGGTTAGTAACGACCTATCTCTCTTCATATATTCCACCTTTTTTAAACGTTGACACAAGGACTGTAGTTCTATAATCTAGTTTTGTACATAATTGCAGCTGCTAATTACTTTTGAATATTGTGTGTGCACGCTTATGTTTTGTGCATGACTGCATCAGGTCATGGAAGAAGCGCTTGTGTCGTGTGTGCAGTTCTAGTAGCATTGGGCATTGCTGAAAACTGGAAGGATGCAGAAAACATCATCCGAGAAAAAAGAAAGATAAAAATGAATGCTGTTCACCGGAAAACCTTAGACGATTGGTCAAAATATAGAGCTTCTCAGAAGAAGGATAAATAACTGTGAGTCGATTGTTCTCAGATGTACTTCTGTCATGTTGAAAGAATGCTCAAAACACATTAAGAGTTGTATTGTTTAACATCTTAACATTCTTAATTAGTAAAATTGCTGTTTTGACAATCAAACGCTTATGGCAATCGTTTGTTGAACATGAAATCCAACCATCATTAACTTCTTTGATATGCTTGCTAGTCATATGCCTTAAAGCCTTTTATGCTACCAACTTCTGTAAAGGTGTGGTCTTAGACAACTGCTATTAGAAATTTAGAATTTTAGCATGCTTTTAAAGGTTGCTACTTCATCCCCCTCTCCTACTAGTTCAACTGTTGCAACATACTGATTGCAGCAGAATAACCAAAAGTACTTCAGACCCAACAACAATGTGTGCAATGTCAGACTTTAGATGAGTTGCTAGATCTGGAAAAGACTTCATTTCTAGGTAGTTTGGACCTCTCTTTTTCTGGGCGTCAGATTCACTTCTATTCTATTAGATAGCTTTTAAATTCAATCCAAGATGTTCTGGCACTGGAAGTGTAGATTCTGTTCCAACTTTTAGCTACTCATTAACTTTAGAACTGTAAAATCAACCCTTTTATCAATCGAAGGCACTCTTTTCGAAATGAAGGGCTTCACGGGAAACATAATTTGCCACTAAATCACATAAATAAGTAGTATTTCAGCAACAAAATCTAGCTAACCCCTTTTTGTTGTCACTGGGCAGGACATTAAATCATTTGACATCTCAGGCAAATTACCATGTGAGTTCTATGCAATCTGGGTTCTGAGAAATCTTCCTAGTTCTGGAGCTTGCATTGTTTCCCAGCTCATATCAGTGTTTCCCACACGTGTCAGATTACTTCCAAAATTTGTTCCCAGTTTTGCTTACTTCTGCTCCTATCTGAAGGTTAGTCTTCAAAGTCCTTGTAAATCAGAAAGCTGAAAATTGGCTTTCAGATGGTTGTGCTGCTATGCTTAGCTCTCCACAGTTGCCTTCATCTGCCACCAATATCCTACAGGCAAATAAGGCTCCAGCTATAAATATATGATGGATGCGTCCAGATAAATAGCACTACAGCTGCTGTCCTATTATTCTTTTAGACTTTTATAGAATTTAGTTAGTTGGCTGAAAGCCTGAAATAGTTGAAACATGCATAGAAAGGGACAAAATCCATATCTAGCCCTTATTTTGTACACCTTCACATCATTGTATTTTATCATAATCTTTTTTAGGATAAGGGACTACCACTAGTTTATTGGTGTAATGACCTTCAAAATTATGATAAAATAAAGTGCATGCAGTATGCATGATGTGCAAAAAAAAGTTTGCTAGCTTTTGACTACCTCCAGTAGGAGGCTGGTCCATTCCATGCTGATTTAATAGGGTGCATTCCTTATATTTTTTTGTCTAGTAAATAATGGTTCAGTTATATGTACTTCGAACTTTCCAATCAGAGATTAAACCTTCAACAACTACAGGTAGGAGGCTTATCATAAAATAAAGAAAGGAAAAGAATTAATTGCAGGTAGGACTAGAGCATGGTGCTTACTCTCGGGGACGAGAAGCCCAGAGGGAGCTGAGGGCACGGAGGCGATTATGGTACTCGCCAATTGCCAAGAAACATCGAGCTGCCTGCCTAATTGTCAGAATTCTGTGCATCTGATGAAGAGTCTGTTGCCTCAAGTTATCAGCCTGGAAATCCAATTTGACAGTTGCAGTTTTAGTACATGATGAAAGGATCTCACTCTTGGCACTAGAAAATTGAAAACTAGAGCAGATACTGGTAGTAAGTTTGTTTTACTATGCCATACTATAGTTAATCAGATAAGCTCCAAAGTCCAAAATAAGGATAATGTCACATGTTTAGGTGACCATTCTTTTCTTTGTATGATGTAGAGATAACATCTCTACATGTTGATGCCATAGCATATTACTGTAGGAAAATTTGTTCCTTTTCACTCTTTATTAATTAACATGTTGGCATGTCGCATTATTAAAAGGATAAAAATGACTGTTTTTTTGCTCGACTGTCAAGTGATTGGATTGCTCATCTAGACATCCACAAAGTTGAGTCAAACAGGGAGAGAAGGATCAGAACTGGAAAAAGGGCAGGCAACAAGGACTTCACCTGTATGACAAAGCCTTCAAGGTTGGACAGCTTGCCCAGGGCAAGGGCCATGTAACCCATGAAGCTCCCAAGGCTGGCTTCGTTGACCACGGAGCCGCCATTGGCGACGGTCTCAGCTAGTGACTGATGCAGCTGCTCCAGGCCCTGGGAGAGAGCTTCCTCTGCCTGCTGCGATGATTGCTGAAGGCTGCAGATGCCAACCACTTGCTGTTCAGTCAGAGGGTCTAGCTGGGGTGCCACTGTCTGCATCAACATCAAGAGTTTGTAATGAAATTAGAAAAACCATACTTGTACTTAGAAGATGAGGTCAGATTTAGCATGGTTAAAACTTGATTTGGCAAATTGTTTTGCACATTGTGAACTGTGAAGTGAGCTTCATGTTTGATGTCAGATTGTCAGGTGCATTTTCTTATGAAAACTAGCCTAGCTTTAACTTATCATGTTCAGATGTGAGGTTATGACTACATACCATGAGCATGTTTAAGCATGATATAGTAAAAGTTTTGCTTTATCATGAACTGTGAAGTATGCTCCATGTCTGATGTTACTCCAGATTTTCAGGTGCATTTTGTGACGAAAAAACTTAGCTCTTTTTATGATGAAAGCTTTCTTTTATTGTATTGTTTAGACCACTTATTTTAAGCTATTCGTTCAATTTATTTATCAAAATATTTAATTTATCCTATAATTAAGGAGATAATCTGCAGCAGTAATCGGCTAAATAATCTGTTTCAATAATTAAATAGCTTCGTGTCCAGAAAGGGGTTTAGAAATGAGGAGGATCATGTCTAACTTACTTAAACTTCTAATTACTGACATGTGAGCCCGTTGAGTAGAAGATCCACATGTCAGTGACTCATGTCAGACAAAAGTAAGTTAGAGGATAGGATCTCGAGTATGTATATACCTTGAGCAGATCGGACGGTTGGAAACCGCCCATCCAGAGGAAGCAGCGCTCGGCGGGGGTGGCCCACGTGCCAGTGATGAGGTGGAACACGTCGGCCTTGGCGGCGGCTGCCCTCAGGCGGAAGAGCTCGTCGTAGTGGGCCAGGGCGTCGTCGACGATCGCCCTCAGGTCGCCGTCCGGCAGGTGCGCGTGTAGCCCGCCGTGCAGCTCCGCCATCCGCCGCCCGCCGTCCTCCAGCCACCGCCCGTACTCGGCGTCGAACATCGCCGCTCCTGCCACGACCAAATGGACAGTAAAGTAAAACATATATACTGAATTATTACTGATCTGATGCAAATCCTATATGACAATCAAACTGAATTTCACATTTCAGATCAGTAGATAAAAGCTACTAAACATGAGAGATTGATCAAGTGAAGGCAATGCATTACCTGCGCTGGTGTTTCCACCTGGTGATCCTCCCAGCAAGAGGCCCTGAACCAAGAAATTCAGATTTTACTGCATTCATGATCCTACCTATAATGTTTAGTAATTAGTTCAGAATGCAGAAAAAAATTACTACCTGGGAACGAGCTCTCTCGAGATCCTGCTCCATCTGAGCCAGCCTCAACTTGCTGCTCTCAAGCTGCTGGATGTAAGCCTGCAAATTGGTATTTTTGACAGATTATGCTGTCAGAAACTTATTGGGAAGAAGAAATTCAGTTCTGAACAACTCATTTTCTTTCTATGCAGGTACTGAAATTCTCATGGATCTAGCTAGGCTCACCTTCTTTCGCAGCCGGCTCTTGCGTGCTGCCTCTCGGTTCTGGGCTAACCTTCTCATTATCTGATTACACCAACACTAGAGAGTAAGTAATTGTCTCAAACTCATGTTTCAAACAGTCTTTAATTAGCTTGCACTGAATGGTTCTGTACATACATATAATTGCATGAGCACGCATAATCATCATCATCATGCTATCTAATTAAGCATCAACTGGGAGTATGAGAGAGCTAGGAGAGTAGGATTAACCTTTGGATCAAGTGTCTTTGTCATCCTGTGGTCACTGTGAGTGGAACTTGCTGCCATCTTCTGCATGCCATGTGGACATGAACAAGTTATTGTTAATTACAAGATGCACTTTAATTACTACAGTTTTGTGCAGTTAGAAACTATACAAGATAAATAGAAAAATAGTGATGATATACATGCTTATGTGCCTATGGTGCAAATAAAATATACTAGTATGATCTTTGGATGCACGTTACATCAACCAGATATAAAAAAACAGCAATGTATATGGGTGGAAGCCACCCACTCTAACAACAGACAAAAATATTGTTCTGCTTTTTTGTTTATGTTGCTGTCACGCCCTAATATGCAAAGTTCTCTTTCAGTTAAGCGTGAGTTAGATATAAACATTGGGTAATAATTGTTCATCCAATGTGATCTTGGCAGTTCATCAATTGGCCAGAAGGAACCTAAAGCACCCCTGATGGCCAAATTGCCATTGTTCAGGTATCAGTTGGTGCAATTTTTTTGGGACCATACTTTGTGCAAGCTAGAGACAATTAACATACTATAAGAATGCATACTTGTCGCCTAATACAGCACATAAGCTAGCATGCACAAGTCTAACATATCCTTTCCTAGACTTATCTGCTCCTCTTCTTTTTTCCAAAGAATGAAAAAGATAGAAATTTGTAGTGGCAAGTAAGGCTAAATGTCAAAGAAAATGCATGGGTAATTACTAAAGTGATCATATTCTGCATCTGATTCTTCAGAAAAACGCTGGTCCCTTGGATGAAGCATCAGGGGAACAAGTTGGAACTTTCTAATGTAGAGCCAAATAATACACCTAACTTGTTGGGATTGGTGATCTTGGGAGCAGCAAGATCTTAAATGACCCTGAACTCTTCTAGTACTACTCCATGAGCATCTTGAGTTGTGGGCTAGCTACTGACATGACACCAGACTAGGGAACAACGCATTGCATCTGCACCACTGCATGGCTTTATTTTCTTCTCGCGATGTAGGTATATGCATGATCAGGAATCAGGAGATCCATGCAGAAGCAAAGACAAGATGAACACCTCCAAGAACAAGCGTTTACAACACCAAAACGCATCAAGAAACTCAAGACCAAGAATTACACCAAAACGCACATCAAGAAACTCCAGTGATTGATGAGAATGCAAACCTTGTGCTGCTTCTGCTGCTGCTGTGGGATCTGATCAAACTGGCTCGCCATGTCGGCTGCTGCTGCACCCTGATCGCCGTTGTTCTTGCTGCTGCTCTCGGAGTCCGTTGTGTCTGCCGTTACATTTGAACATCCATCCTACAGAACACAGCTGTAACTTTGCCTTTGCTTTGCAAAAATGAAAAATGCAGTAGGGATCATGCTCAAGTATTTACCTTCGGTGTTGGAAGAGAGCTCCTCCTCATAGGCCAGGATGGGAAGATGTCCAGTGTAGCAGGAGGCCTAGCTGTTGCTGTTGCTGTAGCTGCAGCAGCAGCAGTGGAGAAGGCTGCAAGAAGATATCATAGGGGAGGAGGAGATCAAGAAATGCATCCAATCCTGCAACTGCAACATCAGAAAGCTACTACCAGCTGAAGCACTGCACTGGGATCACAAGGGGCAAGTGGGGCCCATGTGGCAGTGAAAGGTGGACTGGAATTTATTCCCTTTGAGGAGCTAGGAGTACTGCACAGACTGTGTGCTTTGCTTTGCTGCCATGGCAGGGAGCTAGCCAGAGCTGGTACTATAGTACTTTGGAGAATTGTTGCACTCTAGAGAGAGAGAGAGAGAGAGATGGTGATGATGATGAGGAGAGTCACAAGGCAGTCACACCACTACACACAAGGTGACAAGAAGCACAACTGCCACTCCTGCTATCTGTAGCTCTTGCTTTGCATTGCATGTGGTTTGGCTAGCTACAAAGTTTTTGCTGTTCTTTTTTTTTTTCCAAATGGATTTGCATGGTTGCTTTTGACTACACTGCCCTAACCTCTTGGGAAAGTTGGCTCACTAGGTTGTGTGCTTTTGTTCTTGGTCAGAGAAAGAGAGAGAGAGATGATGTTGTGAGTACGTACGAGTGGTGTGTCCATGGTGAGAGGTGGTGGTGGTTGCAGTTTGTTGAGCCCTCCTCCTGAGTGTGGCAACCTGATGAACAAGAGCTTCTTCTAGCTCTCCAAAATAGGCAGCGCCACCTCCTCCTCCTCCTCCTTGCTCGCTGTCAGTGTCAGGCCAATGCAAATTAAGAAGGGAAATTAAAACATGTAACATGAGATCAACAACTTGTTGGGAATAAATTTGTTGACCAGAATGATCTGAAGAAATATTCATGAAGAACAGTAATGAGAAAGCAATATGAAAAGAACAAGCTGAGAAGAGTGCTGATTCAGCAACCGATGCATATAGCACTCTTCCCCTGAACGTGAAAGAGAAGCTCATGGTTCAGAACTTCAGATCATGTTTATGTTGCACAGTTTGCACTTCGCAATCACCAGAGAGAGAGAGAGAGAGAGAGAGAGAGAGAGAGAGATATTGGGAGAGAAGGAGACAGAAAGATGAAAACGAGATGTTGGGAGAGAAGGAGAGAGAGGATGATGATGAACTGATCTTACAAGAGGTTTGCAGAAGCCATGGAGTTGGGCAAGGTGGTGCCATGGAAGCCATAGCCAAGAACATGATGAGGATTCTGCCCTCTCCTAGCCTCTCCCATCCTACGAGCCACAAAACCACAGCTCGATCTCCCAGTATCTCCAAGAATCAGAACGAAGCGCTAGCTCAAATTTCTTCGATCTACCTCCACAAAGAACAACAAAAAAGAACATCATGATCGCTGCTACTGTACATGCTAGTATGCTACACGCCAGATGATGTGAAGAATTCAAGATGAGAGAGTCAAAGAAAGAAACATACCAAGATTGTGGTCTCTTGTGATAAGCAAGAGCCAAGAGCTACTATAGCAGAAAAGTGACCGGAGTAGCTTTAGCTAGCAAGAAGTGCAAGAAGCAAAGCTTGACCGGTTCTTGGCTCTCAGCTGGAGTAGCTAGCTGTTCTTGGCTCTTGCTATTGCTGCTCACTCCTATAGCTTTAGCTCTCTCTTGAATCTTGATATGGAGTATCTGAAAGTGTAGCAGCTTCACCTTCCGGTCTGGGGCATGCTAATCACACAGTTGATGGAAAGATCTTGTCCTTCCTTTCTCCTATGCTGGTTTTTTTCTTCTTTGAAGAGAGGAAAGGAGAGAGAGGTATAGGTCTTGTCTCTACTTGAAGGTGTTTTGTCATGGAGTCTGCCACAGGAATCCCTGGCTCTACACTCTTATCATCTTGGAACTGACTTCTCTTTCTCTCTGTGTGACTGGTCCCAGATGCACTGCAGATGCAAGTCTAATTTCTTCTGGTTCATGCATGTGTAAACCTTATTTTGCCCCAGATAATGAATGGGATGTTGAATTTGGGTTCAAGTTGTATTGATCAGTACCACTATTTTTTTTCAATTGTTAATGGCTGTTGACAAAACTTGCAAGTTACTATGCACTGGTGTAGGAAGTACATGATCCTGTTTGCAAAGAAAAAATGATTGAGATTAACCATGTTGCTACTGGATTGTTCAATATTACAAGCTATGTATGTTATTCAGACTTCAACGGTGCATGCATTTCATCTGATTATTCCATACTCTCTTCGATTCAAGATTGACTAATTTACACCGACATATAGTTTATTATATGCAAAACCATAGCTTTCGGATAGCATTTAGAAATGTTAACCATTCTGACCACACAATAATCCTACGTTGATAAACGCTTCTCTCACCAGTCTCATGATTTGTATGTACGATCTTATCTAGTTATAGCTCTCTAGCAACTTGATTGCAACTTTGAATAATCTATTTCTCATTTCAAATCGAAGATAAAATAATTGAACTATCGAATCATTAACATCAATAGTACCGTACAAGATAAAACTGAAAAGAGGAATAGAAAACCAAACCTTTAAAGAAATCTTTAGGTTCTAAAAAAAATAAGTATAGAACTCTCTATATTCTCCATTATTAATATATATCCTGCATTTAATTTGCTTGGCAATATTCTCCTCTGTTAATGCGTCAACATCCGTGCCTTGTCAAAATATCACCTAGCTAAACCCATACCTGACCAATCATATCCATTTCACAATACGAAGATCGGCTAACTTAATCAATTTGGAAGTTGATTGTCACGTCTAATATATCAATGACGCTAGTTTAATTGATTTCCTAATACGCTCACCTATATATATACTTTTTAAGTTTTTGTTACGATATGTATAATTAAGAGCAACTCCAATAGAATGGCCAAGTAACTACCCAAGCTAAATTTTAGCAAATATAGGGGGAAAATACCATTCAACAGTCTCTCCATCCGGATGGCCAAATCGCACCCCTCATTGACCAAACTTGGAGAGTCTCTCTGCCTGGCTATTCGTGGGCTCCACACTCCCCTCCCACCCCATCTCTCTCTCTGCCCTGGCTAGAGCAAGAAGGCGGCAACGATGCCGCTTGTGAACGGCGATGGCTAGGAACCGCACAACGGCGACGGCACGGAGGAGAGATGCGCCGGAGCCAGCTGCGACCGCCGCCGTCGTCCGCGTCGTCCCATGCAGCGACTGTCGCCGTCGTCCACGCCGTCCCTAGTCGCGACCGCCACCGCCGTCCGCGCCATCCCTAGCCGCGACCGCCGCCCCCGCGTGGATTTGACCGGGCGGCGTGGATTCGGGGGCTGTTGCCATGGTCGTCGTCGTCACGAGCCGCCGCCGCTGCCACCCTTTGCTCAATCGCCGTTGCCTCGGGGAGTGCTAAGAGAAGAGGAAGAGGGAGAAAAAGAGGAATAAGGGGAGAAAGATGAGAAAGAATGGGTATAGAGAGGATGGATGGAGAGGCTGTTGGAGTAAAGAACGAATTTGACTTGACAAATAAAATGGAGAGTTGACCAAATAGACATTTAGAGAGTCGAATTTAGAGAAACTATTGGAGATGCTCTAAGCTAGCTTTATTAATAGTACGTTTCAATAATGATTACCTCTTTAATTGGACCGAGGCTCCTGTGATTGATGTACCAGCTGTGACTACCACAGCTGCATGCTTATGCGTGTAAGTGATGCACTCCCTCCGTTCCATAATATAAAGGATTTTGGTGGGATGAGACATATCCTATTACTAATTTGGGCAGAGATACAACGAATATGATTATAGAGTGTATTTATTGCACTAGGATGTGATGTATTCTAGTAAGCGAGGTTAGTTTTTTTGATGGAGGAATTAGCTATCATGCTGCCTATGAATTTTAAATTTTGATTTTGAGAATAATTTTAGGCAACGACAGCGGCAGAGGAAAACCTAAAACTTAAAATCAAATCCTATAATCGACGCAGTGCTAAGTACTCCGTACACCCTTATTCAAGGTTGACTGCCTACTGTTATTTGACTATTTGTTATTAATTGTTACTACAAATTTTGGGTGAAAATATACAAGAAAGTAGATATATTTTGTTTTCTTGACAATGCATATGTATATATTCAAATTATACATCACCAACTTTATCACAATTTATTATCATTACTATTGCATATTTACTACAATTCACACATATATCTAGATCTATCGTAATACTCTACCAATTATTTTCATCATATCAAATTTCATCTAAAATTACTTCTATATATTTTCGTAGCAACACGCGTGGTATCTTCTTGTATTTTTAATGGTGAGTAGGAGCTAGTTGGGATGAGTGCAATGTCCCTTTCATTTTGCACTTGGAGGAAAAAATCAATTAAGTAAATTAACTACTTCATGCTCCGCCTAGCCGCCAATCAAACAGATTTATTTCTCCTCTTCACCCACTATATTTTTCCTAACAATGATTGGCACAATAAAATGCGCCAAAAACACATGACAAGATCGAGAACCTACTAATAGCTAGGAGTAAGATAACTGAATAATTCATTCTTATTTTTCTTTTTTGATCTGCTAATTGACACACATCTTATAGCTAGTCATCAAGTGGCAACTTCGGGGGCATGCCTAATAAGACAAAAATAGAAATAGTAGTTGAACTCCTATATAAACTTTGGTTTTTATTTATGAGAAAATTGATTTTGGTGGTTAGTGTCTAGCTAGCTTCTATGGATTGTATAATTAGCTGTGGTCTTATATTAGACTAGTGGTTTAATTAATTATGGCACATGCATTTGGGGCTGAAAATTTATTGAACAGGTAGAGTGCACGCATCATGCATGCATGCGCGTGACAAAATGATTATGTCATTCATTCTGCTAGCTAAGCTAGCTGGAAACCTCAAACACATACTCGGTCAGTCCCAAATCTCAATATACTTATTGTTGTAGGTTATTTAAATATAGATTAAGATTTGTTTGAAAAAGACTATACCGTTTATTATTAAATGATGTATATATGGTCGAAAGTGAGAGGGTTGTTAGGGGTAGAATGGCAGGAGGTGATTGATTTAGTAAATTATATTTTAGAGTAACAACTATTTTAAGATAAATTTTAAATCTTGAAAGTGCATCTAGGCAACTAATTATGTTGGTGATTAATAACAATGTGATTAGAGATGACTAACAACTTATTTGAGTATGAGTGAATGAATGTTAGCATCGGTGAAAAACGATGTTAAAGGCAAAACCTCTAGGCCTCAATGACCTTGCAAATCTCGAAATACAACTATTATGTCGCGGAGATAGTATTCTACTAATATAAGATTATATATATGAAATTTTTTTCAAGAAATACATTGACAAACATTCAATTTCAAGAAATATCATCGATAAGTACGACTTTTATAAAATGCCACTGTACAAGCGACTTTGTCTCGGAAATACCATCATCGTTAGGGTTTCGTTAGTAGTCCTCCGTTAAGTATTATAGGATAAACGGTGCATTTAACAATGGGGATGGACGGAACCTTAACAGCAATGATATTTATAGAACAAAATCGCTTGCACTCGTCGATGATGGCTTTGATTGTTTGTTAATGGTATTTCTGGATGTTCTCTATATGTATGGGCTCATTGATAACGGCACTATATGAGTGACAATGAGAAACAGCGTGAGCGAATCTGTATGAGATGACGTACGCGATATTCATATACAGGCATTGATACAAACTTCTACACAGTAGCTAGTGTTGCTGAATATAGCTTGGTCGTGTACTCCCTCCGTCCCAAATTAAGTACAATAAATTTTGGTTAGATGGAACATAACTATAAATCTAAACATATTTTTTCAGACTCATATTACTAGAATGTGTCCAATCAAAATCTTATATATTTTAGTACGAAGGGAGTAGACCGTATGTTGCGTCCACTGTATGTTACATGTCGCCCACTGAATTAAATATGAAACTCTGAAATATTCAAAGACGTCATCGGGAAGTGTGTTGTAAGTCAGAAATTATTTTGAGCTGGGGAATATTAGTTTAATTTCATTTGCCTCTGATATAATTTGTAAGGTGTTTTCAATTTTGTTCAACGTTATACTTCTCTACTTTCATATTAGTGGGCCGGGTGCTTTAGCTTAAACTGTCACGGAGATATAAAAGCCTATCTTAATTTTTTTTTGACGAGAAAAAACAGCAAGAGAGGCTACTACTGTGATTTTAATAAGAGAAAGGGAATAATTACAGAGAGTATGTACATGAGGGGGAAGGAAAGAACAACAAAACTAAACTAATCAAGCTAAACAAGAAACTGAATCCATGATTCCCACGAAGGTTTATCATCCTGTTTTACTCTATGCAAATGTAGAGTAAAGTCCTCCTTGAAATCTGATTTCCACTTGCTGAAATTGATTGAAAGATTGTTGAAGATAAAGTCATTTCTCCTGCTCTAGATATTCCAGCAACAAATAGCAATGACCTCCATGAAGAAAGGATAAGGAAAGTTGTTCTTTGCTTCTGAGATCGTGTTCATAACATCCAGATGAAAATTTCAGTTAATGCCTAAACTAGACCAGCATTGCTGAGCAAAAGGGCAGGAGAAAAAAAGATGGTGGGAGTCCTCTATGACCACTGATTTCAGGTAACACATTTGATGCCTCCTTGGGTGTTGAAATGTTTTCTTTGCAAGAGTTCCTTGGTGTTCAATCTGTCCATTAGAAGCAACCAAAGGAAGACTTTCAGTTTCAGAGTGCATTTGCATTTCCAAATCCAAATAAGAGGAGCCGGTGGGTGAATGTGAGCAAAGAACAAATCATAGACTTTTTTGGAATGATATTGATGAGAATTCCACTGATAAGTCCAGCAGTCCAAGTCATTAAAGTTATCCAGATTTTGAACCAGATCGTTTAAGATTTGCCATTGTTGAATTGCTTGTACCAACATGGGTGTATGAAAAGACTGCTCAATACTATTCAGATCGAGGAAACCTTTAAGTGAGATATCTTCCAATTTTGCGAATGAGAATAGGATGCTTAACTCCTCTTGCAAAATGCTTCTAGTCCAATTATCTTTCCAAAACAAAGCTGTTTCACCAGAACCAACAGTTACCTTTGAGATTGCTCTGAAAATTGGGATTAATCTGAAAATGTCCTTCCACCAAAAAGAACCCTTTTCTGTGTGTGCATGAGGGGGTAAATTTGAATGAGAGTAGTATTTGTTCCAAATGAGATTTACCCAAGGGAGATCTTTCTTATTGAAAAATTTGTCCAGATGTTTTGTGAGTAGGGCAACATTTTGAAGAGGAGGGGAAATGAGAAAACTAAAAATATATGTAAAACAAGATAAGTTATTAGTGCATGATTAATTAAATATTAATTATTTTAAATTTAAAAATAATTAATATATTTTTTAAATAAATTTTGTTTTTTTTAAAATATACACGATTTAACCGTTTAGGAAGTGTACACCTGAAAAACATCATATATCCCTATTGACACTCCCACCTCTCACTCGTGACGACTCTATCCAATCCTTCTCCGTCTCGTCATGGCCACGGTAGCGCCACTCACATCAGAGCCCCAAGATCTCGACCCTCATATATGGGCCCTTATATATTTAACCTATTAGCTAGAAACAAAAGTTTAATTAATTAAATCCCTTAAAATATATGTTGGATCTAATATGTATCCCTTAACAGCAAAGCTATGTATAATGACTCCATCAATCATCAATACCGGTTTAGTTTGCGGGCCTTCTCAAATGGTTTGGATGACAGTTTTGCTCTGCGTGGCGCACGTTGATCTAATCTCTATCCTACGTCTATATTATATTATAAAATAAAATAGTAGGACCCATGTCTCATCCTCGCCTCGTTCTCTAGCTCCTTACACACTTTGAGAAAGCAGGGTATACTGGAAGCAGAGAGGGCAGGAGGGCGACAGTAGCAGCAAGCCGAATCCTGGAAGAGCGGCGGCGGCTCCTCCCCTCTTCTCTCCTACCGTTCGGTTGGGGCACGGGTGCGCTCTTCTCTCCCTTCCTCCTCTCTCTCTCTCTCTCTCTTTTTTCTTTGAGAGCACTTCAGAATTTTCTCAATTCGCTCCTTTGTTATGTAACGAATTTTCTCAAGTTCCCTTGGATCAGTTACAAGGACTTGAACACCCAATTGCACTTTTGTCTTCTGAAGGTTGAAACCAAGACATGCAATTCCTCCTCCCTCTCTTGGCTTGATTGTATACGTGCGTTGAGCTTTGCTGTGACTTTGTGATGTCAAGTTTCCAAACGCTCATTGTACCATTGCAATTATTCAAATGAAGACCGGTTGAAGATAGGGATGAAAATGGTTGGAAAATCCCTATACCATTTTCTTTTTCATATATATATTTCTCGTAAACGAAATCAGAATGGTAGATCTGGAAATGGTAACGATATCGGTAATATTGGTATATCAGAAACAGGACTGTCGGAACGAAATATACCGATATTGGTTGGAAGTCGAAATTCATGTCAGAATCAGCAGAGTGTGGCATAGCACACATTTAACTATACATGTAAATGACATTTTAACTTTATTCTTTTATCATCACACACCACATAACACCGTTATATGATGATTAATAATATGATAATAAGTTTGATGAACAGTATAAACAAAGTTTAACAATACTTAACATCGATAAGTTGAGAAGACTAAAGTTCAGCAAAATCCACATGCCACATCATAGGGTTAATTAACAACATTTTTCTCTGGTCACTTTCCCTTTTTTATGGGCCGCAAGCCTACTAGACTTCCTTCATTCATGGACTTCTGATGGGTTAGGCAGGCTAAGCCGCTAGAGAACTTCCAGAATTTTTTCGGAATTTTGACGAAAATTATCATACAAATACGGTTACCGACAAAACGGTCGGAAAAACCTCCATCTCATTTCCGCTACCATTTCCAGAAGATATTACCGTTTCCATTTCCACCACTGTTGGTTACCGATACCGACTGAAAACGGTCGGTGTAAACTAGAAACGGCAGCCGGAAATTTCCATACCGTTTTCAGGGTTGGATGAAGATCGATGATGACGGTGCTACCCGAGCTCAAGCTTGTAGGGGGCTCGCCAGCATCCCTGTTGTTACCTTCTTTCGCAGGCGAGTGTCCAAGCACGATCTCGCGCGGGACAGCCGTTTTAACGGTTTTGCAATTGAGAGTTACGAATGAGATTTGACCTGTATTTGAGATAATTAAATCGGACATTTTCTTATCTGGCCTAATTAGCTGACCCTTTGTTTGGACCAGAGTCATTCTTAAAAGTACACACCTTGGCCTTTCTCTTTCGCAAACATTCTTGAACAGTTGCGTACGAGTTGGGCTTTTCTTTATATAGCTTAACGTTTCCGGCCCATGTATTTCCTTCTCTCCTCCTAATCGTTTCGGACGATGCAAGAGGTGGCCACGATGGTGTGCTCAGCTGCCGTACGTCGTCGTGCCAAGACGAGTCGCCGGCGGCGAGCTGGGCCTGCTGCTGAAGCTGACGCCAAATTAATTAAGCTCCCAAACGGCCGCGCCGGAGGACTATACTCACACCGTTAATAAATATTTGACGCCGCTTATTTTTTAAAATATATTTGATCGTTCCTTTTATTTGATTTATTGTTAAATATAATTATATGTATACATATAGTTTTACATATTTCACAAAAGTTTTTAAATAAGATGAACGGTTAAACATGTGCTAAAAAGGTTAAATATTTAGAAATAAAGGGAGTATATTTTTCAAAAAAAAAAAAAGCTTCGTGGCCGGAGCTCTGCCGGCCGGATTTAAAAGAGGGAAAGCCGGAGGATTATATATGGATCGCATTCAGGTCTATACCTTCCTGCTTTCTTCCTCCGCGTGGCGTCGATTTCCGCCGTGCAGATACGAGGACGCCGGCGCCGAGTACGAGTTAAGGCCTGAAGCGGATGGACGAGAAAGCCTATAGGCCTTTGCAGCCCATATATACATTCCTGCAGTAAAAAACAAATCTATCTCTGTAAACATCTTGTTTTGTCGTCAGAGTTGCAACGAACAGAATTGACAACGGGACACACGTACAGAAAACGAAGCAACACTGAGTGTGCCAATTCTTTAAATATTATAGCATGACTACAAGAATCCAGGATTTTTCTTTTGACAGACACAAACCACTAAGGATAGCATCAAAACCGTTAAGGTAACATGTTTTGCCGGCCAACCGCCAAGTTTATAGACCAAGGAAAATTCCATTTTATTGGCGGCTAACTGTTATGGAAAGAGTTTTTTTTTTGTCTCCCCAACAAGAAAATTACGATCATTTCCAACTTTCGAAAGCGCCAAGAAATAAAAACTTGTCAGTTCGGATTGACAATAATATACTTTACTTTAGATGTTATCGAACCGCCAAGGAAATTATCAAGAAAATACCTTATTCATGGCCGCTACAACCACCAAAGGAAGTATCAAGGAAATACCTTATTCATGACCGCTACAGCCGCCAAGGATATAACTTGGCGGTTCTACGTAACCCTCAATAAAATAGTTGTATCCTTATCAACTAGTTATGATCATCAAGATAACGAATAATATTGGCGGCTTTGTTTTGGCTGCCAAAAAATCTTGGATTGTTGTATGCGCAGGAGAAAATCGATCAGAACATATATAAGAGGGAAACTTTATATGGTGAAATAGCTAAGCTATAAGCTCAAGAAGAGATGTTTTCCTCCGCCAAAGTCTAAGGTTTTGGCCTCTTCCTTGATCTTTGCTATTAGCTTGATTATCGAGAGTTTCTTATGTTGGAACATTCATTGATTTCTCTCCTATATTTTCCATGTCGTAAGTAGGATGAGAGTGCACACCCCCCTTTTTCTGATAGGCTTCGACCTGTGAGCAGTGCCACCCACCATTCATATACTATCGAGGTTGTGCTCCATATTTATGGGCTGAGTTGCTCCTGGGATGTCCAGGTGGAAATCATGTCCATATTCTCCTCATATATCTGCACTCTGGACACAAGTAGGTGGAAGGATGCTTCTAAGGTGGGTCGGCAAAGCGAGTAGTACAAGTAGGTGGAAGGATGCTTCTAAGGTGGGTCGGCAACGCGAGTAGTAGGTATTGTTTGGCCAACTTCTCGAACTGTTAATCTCTGTCAGACGTCCGTACTAATGTTATGTATAATTAGGGCATGTTTGGTAGAGCTCCAACTCCCAGGAGAGCTGGAGTCCAGTCAAACAGTTTCAACTCCATCCAATGGGAGTGAAGCTGGCTGGAGTGCTCTCACAAAATGATTAACTAGAGAGGTGGAGCTGGGTTTGGTTGCTCCATAATTTCACTCCAGATCCAGTTCTTGATGTTAAATCTAAGAGTTGGAACCTACCAATCAGGCCCTTAGCCAAGCGAAGATCATGTATTTCTTTGGAGTCTAAAGCTTCCAAATGAAATATGATAGTTCTGTTAATGGAGCCGAAGAACTGTGCTCAGCTTCTCATGAAATTGAGTCAAACAGTAGATACAATGAAGAGTTTTTAGTCATAATCTCTCATGCATGAACGAAGGCATGATAAAACTATCATCTTGCTTGATTTCCAGGACCATCTTTACCCCTTCTTACATGCATATGTTTAATCAAGAAGAAAAGACAAAGAGAATCCTTGCCTCAAAATTCCTTATCAATCTAGCTATTATATACCCCTCTATCTCTCTCTAATATACATATATAAGCTAGGACTGCTCTTGTTGTCCATGAATACATACATAAACTTATTCAAGAGATCCAAAATGGTAAATTCATGCATGCATCATTCTTTGTTCTGCATGCAGCTAGAAAACGCTGCCTTCAGGTATGCTCTGCAGGGTAGGCTGCCACACTGATCCGCAGCTCTCCTGCTGGTGCAGCAGCTCATCTGCTTCAGCTTGTTTTTGCATGAGAGACACCATGTCGTTCAGGGAGATGGCGGCGGCGTCGTTGTGCAGCAGCATCTTCTTCAGCTCCTGCTTTCTGACCACCAGCTTCACCCTCACGACGGCGCCGCCGGGTGGGTCGTCAGCCATGTCGGCCGTCGCCGGCCGGAGTGCCTCGTCGTCGTCGTCGGAGGAGACGCCGTTGAGGGGTGGCGGCGGCGGCGGCAGCTTCAGGATCTCGCCGTCGACGTCCATGCTCATGATCTTGATCTCCCTGTTCCTATCTTGAATCACCATGCAATTCCCCATGATGATACGACGACGAAGACGAGTTTTGCAAGGAGATTTGGGATGATGAAATTACGAGGTAGCTAGCACGACCGAATGATCGATCGATCACAATTCACAAGTTAGAAATGTGTGTGTGGTGTAGTATTTCTTGGCGAAAGAGTAGGGGGTTGGAGGGGAGGAGTTATGTGTGGTATTTAAAGGAATTGTATTAGGAGGATAGCCACAAACTTTGGAGCATACTTCATCTCTGTGCCATTGGACTAGCCAAGTGAGCTTTGCTTACTTCATGTCATGCCTCACCAAAAGCAAGATATAGCCACTGAGAAAGTGAGAATTAGTGAAATCGACCAGCCATTTCTTTTTTTTTTGTCTCTATCTTGTTGTCGTCCTTGACTGTTGCATGCTGATTTGCATCAGGGCGGTTCCGTGAAATTCGAGGCCGGTTGCGCACGTCAAACATCTCGGAATAAACTTGATGTGCATTTTCAGCTAGATTTTACTATTATTGTCTTTTCAGTCTTATTCTAGTCTACTATAACCTTAATTTTAAGTACTATGATGTTGTTGAATTTTCTATATATGTTTAACAATTTGTCTTACTAAAAAATATTAAAAAAATATAAAAGTCATGCTTGAAGTGTCTATAATAATAAAACTAGCCACAGTAAAACAAATAATATTTACATATTTGTTTGATAAGAGAATGATCAAATATATGTCCAAAAGACAACGACGTTATATGTTAAAAATAGAGGGAGTATATATTTTTTTATAATAAACAAGATAAAAAAGGTATAGAAGTTATTAAATAACCGTTGAATTAATGGAGCAAATCGACTGTAAACTACACCGACACTTATATTTATGACAACAAATGCTTCTTCCTAGTGCCAGGCATGCATATATATGATCTCATTCTTATCCATGCATATTACATATATGTAATTAGATGGCAAAATCATAATTTTGTGCTGAGTAGAGGGTTTTTTTTGAAGATATATAATTGAATTAGCAAGCAACATACCCAGGTAAAGGGGGAGAGATCACAAAACATTAGTAGTAGGATACATGTGGAGCCCAACATTTGGGCAGGCCTAATCCATATCCTTGTAGTGGAGGTAAGAATCATTTGCACCTCTTGTCAAATCTGCAAGTGAAAATGGATTTGTGTACTGGTCATCATGTGGTTTAATTTGCAAGTGAAAGTGAAACTAATAGAGACCATGCATCCAATGCGTGTTACTGGTCATATATATAGACAGGCCGAAAACGATCGATATGATGGATCCTCCTCTCCATCAAGCACTAACAACCAATATAAACATTTGTTGCACGATCCGCATCATTTCAATTCAGTAAGAACGCTATGTACCCCGGCATCTATAGTTCTATTTATATATACACGTGATGTGTTATATATGCGTGCTATTTGACTACAAGAATCCAGAATTTTCTTTGCGGTCAAAAACACCAAGGCAATATATTTTTACGACTACCTGCCAAATAATAACCACCAAATTTAGAGAGCCAAGGAAATCCAGATTAATTTCTTGGTTGCTAATCGTGAGGGAAAGTTCTATTAGCGGTCTAACCGCCAAGAGAACTACGGAGAATATTAAACTTTTGAAAAGCCAAGAAATGTAACCTTACCAGTCTCGACCGACAAGAACACATCTTACCTTAGGTGGTGTCGAACCGTCAAGAATATATGGTCATTGAGTGAAGCTGGAGACGATCGATTAATGCATCCAAGGCTATGTATCCAACTATATATCCATTATATATATGGTTATTGTAATGGGATAAGGCAAGAGCAATTATTGTGTTTTAGAATTCACAATGTTCGCGGTTGAGTTTTCTTCTTCTCCTTTTAATTGTTTGTAGCTAACACAGACCACACATTAATTCAATACTTTAGTGAATTGCACATTATATCGCATATGTTAGGAAACGATAAGCGAACAAACGATAAAGAACAATAGATCAATCACAGAAGACACGAGATTTAACGTGAAAAACCCTCCCAAAATAGGAGAGAAAAAACCACGGGCGCCAGCCAGCAAAATATCTTCACTATATCTGGGGTGAGGTTACATCGCCGCATGGCGGCTTACAAGAGATATATATATATGGTGGAACCCTAAAAGGGATGATGATCCGTACGGGAGACGGGCCTCCGCTCCACTACGGAAGCTGGCCTTTATTAAGTGCAGATGAATTTCGATCACAACTCAACAGCATCGACCAAATATTCTCCCCGAAGTTTCCTCTTGCACCACAATTAATTAACTAATGGTTTCGCTTTCAATCATTTTTCATTCTTTTGGTTTGCTTTGGACCCTAGCTGTTGTTGTTGTTGCTACTTCCCTAGCTCGTTGTCCCCTCTCTCCTCTGATGGTGAGTTAGCTCCAAGATCTAATCATCGATCAAGGCATCCTGCATAAGGTAATGGGGACCTGAACCCTGATCCTTGATGGGTAAAACGTCCATTAAGAACAAAATGAGACTCACTCACGGGGTTCCTAATGGCAAAATACTCCCCCATTAGTCCAATGCATCCTCCTTTGGAGGATGCCACTACCACACGCCACCTCGTTGCTCCCATCCTCTACTTCTACTAACATGGTGACTGCGAAAAGGGTGCATAGGGATGGATGGTGTAGGTCAACTCACGCCCATCTCTCTAGCGGTGTGCTCTAGCAATATTGTAGTGGTTCATAGGATATGAAAGAGTCAAAGCAACGGAAAATACATGGGGTGCAATGCAAGAAGATATATGAAGAAAGGAGGCGTGTATGTAGTATTGTACAGAAGAGAGAAGGCCACCAGAGGGGGGGGGGCAGTGCCAATGACTTTCCTTCATTCAGAATATATCACATATAGGAGAAGAGAATGAAAAGGCTCAAAGTTAAACTAAAGGGAAGAAAAGTTTGTCCAAATTGGAAGAAAAAATTAGGTCAAGTAACCTAAGATAAAACTTGGTATGCAAGAATAAGTGATGACCTATATACATACGTGTAATTCACTTTTAAATTTTTTCAACAAGGCTGCCGATATTCCTTAATAGAATACAGTTTTGTATGTGTTGCATAACAGATTCATTGGACCCTAGGCAAAAGGTTGAAGCACAAGAAAACAAAAACTTGTCCTTGTTGAATGTCGATATCAATTAAAGAACACGTCCTTTCACGCACATTCTAAACCCCACTATACTTTTTATGATCCTTCTTCCTGTACTTTTCTTTGTTTATACATTTGCTTTTGTAGTGCTCCCCATAAAAAACACTTTAATCAAGATAAAAGCTTTGTTAGCATTAGAAAATAAAGTGAAATGTGGACACTAATATGGTGATCGAGTCAAAATTATGTGGAAGACTATTTCAATCCCTTTAACGAGAGTGGGTTGTTAATCACGAAGAGCTCTAAGTAGCTAATTGAAACATGATATATAGACAGGAAAATACTACGAGACTGTCTGCATGGTATAGACGTAGCTAGGGTTTTGACTTCTAGATTATCCTAGAATTGATATGCAACTAGAAATAACAAGCTTTAGAAAAAGGAAAAAAAAAGAGAAACCATCAGCTTTCAGAAAACAAAATATTATATAATAGTAATCAATGAAACTTAATGGAAAGACTTCCCTTTACTCGCTCACTACTATCTCCGTCTTAAAATATAGCAATCTAGTATAAAATGAGATAAATTCTAGTACTTTAAATCTGAACAGGCATAAACATTAATGTAAATGTGAGTATACATTCATCATTGTAAGACATTCACACATAATTACTCTGCTATATATAAACATCTCTAGCTGAGCCGACACATACGTCTTGGTATATATTCACAAAATTATTATAAACACTTCTCTCGCTATCGATTGGCATGTCATCTAATAGAAAAAACTTAACTAAAATAGCTGTGGTATAGTAAACTAATATATATATGTGCATGTATATAGCCTTAGTGGCTAGTGATCGATGGTGCAGCATTAGAGCAAGTATAATAGGAGGTTGTAAGCCGACTAAATACTGAGGTGGAGGAGAGAAGAGAGAAGAAAGAGGAGAAGTGGGCTGTAAACTTACAGCCGGCTTGGACACATAAGAACCAAGAAACTCTGTGAGAGAGACAAGTGATCATGTATTAATTGTAAAGAGCTACTCTCTCCGTTCCATAATATAATGCACAACTATTTTTTTAGGATGTTCATAAGGCATGCATGCATGTATACAATTTATTAGGACTTCTTCTCCATTAAATTATTACTTTTTTTTAAATCCTCCACCCTCAAGATCTCAAATTCTATTGGATGCATGCATTATATTTATTAGGGTGATTCAAACTAGGAGATGATAATAATTGTTTCTTGGTCTTTGGGTTAATGGTGGTTGTGCCTTATATTTTGGAACGGATGGAGTAACTATTATATGGGTGAGCTGAGAGAAGGCTGCAAATAATCTTACAGCTAACAAGTTAGCTGTATTATTAGTCTTGCTCTTGAGGTAGCTTAGCTCACTATAATATGTGCAATAAGCACTACTCTGTCCGTCCCAAAATATAGTAACCTTGTATACTGGATGGGACACATCATAGTACAGTAAATCTGGATAGAGGTATGTCCAGATTCGTTGTATTAAGATATGTCCTATCCAGTATAAGGTTGCTGTATTTTAGGACGGAGGGAGTATCTTATTAGCTCACTCCTTTGACCTATATCTAGCTAAGCTAGCTAGCTATAGCTACTCGCCCGTTGAACGCTTTTTAACCACGCGTGCATATGCACACGCGCTGAGATCGCGCGTTTTGACGATTTTACACGCGGCTCGTTTTGGCGACGCGCGGCGGACGGCGAGTGGCCGGCAAGGCTAGTGGGGCGGCACCGCCGCAGAGACTAAGCCGGCGACGTCGCCGTCGACGAGACGACCGGCCGCTATAGCTATTAGCTGCCGGAAGACGACTGCCGTCCGTACGTCGTCGTCGTTGGTGGTGGCGTAGTACATACGTATATATGCGCATGCTAGCTTGCTTCGCTTTTACTTCTCCGGTCGCCGCCTCGCCGGCCGACGTCGCCACGCGTATAAGAATTGAGAAGTTCGGATAAACTGATCATATAGTAGTATCTACTCATCAGAATATTATAAGGTTAATTAACAAAAGTCGATGCAATTATAATTATGAGATATTAAAAAAGACTCGACTCATTATGAGTTTCTCAATGGAGAGTAGAAAACCCCCTCAAGAATTTGAACTTTAGGAACAGATCGTCTTATAAAAGTCCTTGTGATCTCTCTCACTCATC